AAACCCTGCATACCCCGCAAACCCAGCAAACCTCCAAAAAAGAAAAACACCGCAAACCCCATCCAAACCTTGTGATAATGACTGAATCACATAGTATAGGACTCAATTTAGTATCTCAAAAAAAAAAATCATAATTTTATGTTCGTCACAACCTATTTTTGGGGTAAAAAGGCCATTTTTTGTATTAAAATATTGCTACTGTAAACCCTGCAAAACCCCCAAAAACACAGTGCAAACCCCATCCAAACCCTGTGATAGTGATTGAATCATGTAGTATAGGACTCACTTGGTATATCAGTAAAAAAAATTATAATGTTTTATTCATAACAACCTATTTTTGGGGTAAACAGGCCATTTTTTGTATAAAAAAAATTCTAAACCCCGCAAACCCCCAAAAACACAGTGTAAACCCCATCCAAACCCTGTGATAATGATTGAATCACATAGTATAGGACTCAATTTGGTATCTCGATAAAAAAAAATCATAATTTTATGTTCGTCACAACCTATTTTTGGGGTAAAAAGTCCATTTTTTGTATAAAAAAATTGCTAAACCCCGCAAACCCCCCAAAACACAGTCCAAACCCTGTAATAATGATTGAATCACATAGTATAGGACTCAATTTGGTATCTTAATAAAAAAAAAATCTTAATTTTATGTTCGTCACAACCTATTTTTGGGGTAAAAAGGCCATTTTTTGTATAAAAAAATTGCTAAACCTCGCAAACCCCCCTAAAACACAGTTCAAACCCCTTCCAAACCCTGTGATTCGGAGGTTTGCGGGGTTTAGCAATGTCTTATACAAAAAATGGCATTTTTACCCAAAAAGTAGGTTGTTACGAATGGAACATTATAATTTTTTTTTACTGATATACCAGGTGAGTCCTATACTACATGATTCAATCACTATCACAGGGTTTGGATGGGGTTTGCACTGTGTTTTTGGGGGTTTGCGGGGTTTAGCAATTTTTTTAATACAAAAAATGGCCTTTTTACCCAAAAAATAGGTTGTGACGAACATAAAATTATGATTTTTTTTATTGAGGTACCAAGTTGAGTCCTATACTATGTGATTCAATCATTATCACAAGGTTTGGATGAGGTTTGCAGTGATTTTTTGGAGGTTTGCAGGGTTTAGCAATACCCCATAATTCAGAGTGTTTTATAGATTGGTGTTTGTGAAACCAGTTTTTTAAAATTGATGTTTAAATTAAGATACAAAATAATTATTAACATACAGTGTGGTGTTTGTTAAAGCGTTGCCAAATTTATTTATTTGCCAGTCCATAGTCCATGGACCATTTTAATAAATGTAGGTAATTAATAACCATAAAATAATTAAGCTGCTGTCAATAGTTAGCATCCTGGAGTGCACTGGAAAACAAAAAAAGACGGCCGCCAGTGCGAAAGATGGAGTATACAGTAAGCTACAACAATACTGGGTGGAAGTTAACTGAACAACCAAAAGTGACAAAACAAATATTTCTGCAGACAACATGCAGAGGCTTACATTTTAGAGTACTGTAGATGAATTACTGAAGAAGTAAAACTAAAAGGTAAAAAGTGAAATATACCGTACCATAGCAAAGAAAACCTATTAGTAAGCAATAACTACAATATTTCCCATTTAGAGTGGCAGTGTAGTTCACACAGAGTATTGCAGTAATATTGTGTTGTGAAATTTTAAACCATGTACTGGTGGTAATAATTATTGACCAAGTAACTAAGTTCAATCTGTAGTTGACAGTTTAACCTACTGTGCAGTGTGGTAATATAAATACTGTGTAATAAGTAAAGGAACATGTTACAGTGACATTTTACTATAGAACCGAAAGGTCCACTGATTAATCTCAGATAAGAAAGTATAATACATACTCCAAGTATTGAAATACACGCCATCGTGTTGGGATTCAATATTTCGACATTAATTATGTCATCATCAGGAGTGATGTTCCTGATGATGACATAATTAATGTCGAAATATTGAATCCCAACACGATGGCGTGTATTTCAATACTTGGAGTATGTATTATACTTTCTTATTTTACTATAGATTCCTTTTATTTTGGAAATTAATTGTCATCCATTAGAACAATTTTAACTTGAATTTCAGGAATATCAATTTGTACATTGTCTACAGACATTAAACTGTAGTACACTATTGCAATTTATTATGAAATTGTAAGCCATTATTTTGGGTTATGAGTATTGCAGTTGTCTGGTCATGCTAAATGCATGTGTCTCAATTATTTGTAATTTGGTATTCAAATTATGATAATTTCATAGTGATATTTGAAAATGTGTAACATTTATAGTAGAGTTGCTCTCAGATTATAAAACATTACAAACAAAAACTCAGTGAATTTATTTAGTAAGCTGCAAAGCTTTAAAAGTGCTAAAAGCTTGGATATTATTTCTTATTCAACCATGGAGAGATGAAATAACTTATTGTTCAACGATAAATGATGAAATTCCTTTCCTCGATTTCAATTCAAAAGGGAGCTTGCTACATTATAAGCCTGACTAAAATGTAAAATGGACACTTATGGAAACATTTTTTTTTATAAAGAAAAAGATGTAACAAACATTTTGAAATATTTTTTTAGCAGACTTTCACAAAATCATAACATCATTGCTATTACACAGATATTCACTCTTTCAAATAGCTGCTAAAATAGTTAGGATATAATCCAAGATAAGAATTTATTGATTTAAAAATATAATAAAAACCAGTTATGAAGTACAGACAGATTTTTTTCTTCTTCCAACATATTTTAATTCTAGCTGTTGTAGTTGTAACAAACATTTTGAAATACTTTTTAGCAGACTTTCACAAAATCATAACATCATTGCTATACAGATATTCAGTGAATCATTCTTTCAAATAGCTGCTAAAATACTTAGGGTATAATCCAAAATAAGAATTTATTGATTTAAAAATATAATAAAAACAAGTTATAAAATATAGACAAATTGTTTTCTTCTTCAAACATATTTTTATTCTAGCTGTTATATAGCTTGATATGCTATTTCAAACCTTTTACAGTTTAGTCTAATTATTTTGCAATTCTAGGCCACGTCCTTGTAATTATCTAGCATTCAAATAGGTACATTCACCTTCCAGCTCTGATGCAACAATGCTGCTTTAAATCTGATAGTGGCAAACTTCTTTATCTCGTGTGTTTTCATTAGCATTATGAAATACAGTGTTCTTCCAGGATCAATACAAATTTGATCGATGTTGGCAATACAGATTGGTGGATGCCTAGATAGTAAAATCTGGCATTGATTTTTTGGGGGCATTGCTGTTCACAACCAAATTGAAAGTTGATATAGCATACAAAATGAAGACATCAGTATGAGTAAAGTCAGTCCACCACATTACCAAACCCCATTTAATAAGCACCTTAAGCTTCTCCTTTTACAGTTGCTCAGGAAACATTCTATCATTGGCCGCAAATTAGGTTTAGCCCAGACATGGATTCTGAGGAAGGAATTTAAATGAAAGTAAAATGGAATGTTTGCCTTTAATGCTATATAGTTAATAGTCACTTGTCCATGTTGGTTTAAGTACAGTACTGTACATAGTGATGAGGTTGCTTTTTGATTGTGAAGTGGCCACATGATGATGAGTAGCCTCATTATGGTGAGGTACAGTAGTAAGATCATGTGATAAGACCCATGTGGGTAAAGTAGCCAATCCAGTGATGTTGAGGTAGGTAGAGGTAGCCCATTGATGGTGAAGTAGGTAGATGGTGAGGTTTCTATGTTGCATGGTCAAAAATGGATTCAAGCGAATCAACCTACCATCACAATGCCCACAAATAACAGAAAGCGATGTAACGGAAGATGCAGAAAATGAACCTGACTGGAGATATGTTACCAGTATGGGAGGCCCTTTACAAAATTACCAAGACAGTACCTACAGTATCCAGAATTTCTTCGAACAGCAGCAACATAACTGGATGGCTCACTGCATAAAAAAAGGAAATGATGGCATTTGCAAGATCCTCACATTCAACATCACATGAAGACCAACTTCTTCTATCCTCCAAAGGGCAATTAAAAACAGCCAGGTTGATAGATATCAAATTGTCAAGAATAGTTTTCATAGAAAATTTTAAATTTTAAACTAACATCTATAAAGTATTAACATGTATGTAAATTAAGTTAAATAATAATGACACTAAATTATAAATCAATTGTAAAGCACCAGTCCGATCTCTCTCTGAATATGTACTGTATATCAGCAGTGTATTTAGTCAACTGTTTATCACCCAAATGACAGCCAGATATTCCTGTCATGTAATGGCAAATACCAAGTACCAAGTACCCCTATACAGTAGTTTGCTGCTGGTATTGGTTGGAAGTAGTGGCAGGACCAGCAGGATAGAAGCTTAAGCTCCCTTATTGGACAGACCAGACCCATCTCCTTTCCTCCCCACATTGGACATGACTCATAAAACCAAAAATATTTCACTAAACCATTATCTGGGAATAATAACATCATTTGTTATTTCACCCAATGTTACCCAGCTTCTGTAGGTGCCAGAGGGTTTAGGTCTCATGATCTCCACCGGGGTTTCATAGCTGGATCTTCAGAAATGTTCAGATCTCCTTTTGAAGAGCATTGTTCCCCCCCCCCCTTTCCCACCTTAAGGTATGTTTAAAGCCACCCCTGGGGTAAAGTAGTAGCACCTTCGCTGGTAAAATAGCCAATGGCAGTCACAGTGAGTTTGATTACATTGATCAATAATAGAGTGTTACTACCACATAAAATAAATAATTTGTACGTAGCATGGACAATTTTAATGATGTAACCTATACAAGGATATGTAAGAAACTCTCACATATGCCACAGCCTATGAACGAGAGACTGAGGACAGCTTTACTGGCAAAGATGAATCCTCGATCACTAGAAAGCACTACACAAACAATTCATTCAAAACACCTGTAATAAATAAAATTTTCAACAATTATACTGTACTTTTCCCCCCAGGTGATAGTAATCATGTGCCACCATTACAACGAGGGTACACAAGCCAGGTTTTGCAGCATTACCCCAAAAATGTTGACTGGAACCCATTTGATGATGCTGGAGTTAATATGGTAAGATCAGATTCTATACAATAACATACATAATTTTATGACCTAATAATGTTTTTCGTGTGGTTTGAAATAGAGTATTTTGATTATATAAATAAAAGTGCTGTAAAAAGGGTATATTTCTTCCTCAAAAAATTGAAAACTTCATATGGAAGACTCTGACTCTGACTGATCTCTAAACCTGTGTCTTGCTAAGCTCAGAAAAAGCAAACATTTTTTTGGTGTATAATATTAAATTGATAACTGTTAAATCTATACAGACTTAGCCAGAAAACTTAAATAATCGGATACTGATTGATATAAAGGAACCGAACAACATTGTAATTTAAGATAACCAACATGCAGTGGATACTGATTATCTTGTAGTGTACTGCATTAAGCAGGGTAGTGTGTGATGGATGAGAATTTTGATGGTGTCAATTTTGATGTTTGCCAATTGTAATGTTAATTAAGTTTTCAAATCCGCTTTTAAACATTGGACACTGATTGGACAATAAATCTATCATGTTCTTTAGATATTATTATTAAAGCCCTGATTTATACAGTTTGTAACGTTTTGTCTTCTGCATCAGTATATTTCTCTTCTCGTATTCCAATTAAATTATTGTTACTGGAAAGCAAAGATGTTTATGCTGTATGCTATCAGAAAAGAATAATGATAATAAAAGCAATGTGATTCTTAAAGGAAAAAAATATAATATGGTGGACAGGTATTTCAAGTCCTGTATCTGGGTCAAGAGTACTGCGATTGATACTGGTTAATAAACGTCCCTGAAACAATTCTACAGCTAACATATCATTTCCTAGCAAAAATTGGTATAAGCACAAAAAACTATAGTGAGTAAAAAAATAGAAAATTTAGAGGTTTATAGTAATTGAATGGAGGTTTGCATGATCACAAGGAGTAAGCCAGGCAAGGCAAAATAGTTCTCATCCCTGCTCCAAAATGTCTAACAACAGATTACTGTATGTTATCCTTTCTGTAATGAAAATCCCCCTACGCCAAAGGAGTTTATGTATTCACCTCTGTCTGTCTGTCTGTTAGCAAGTTTTTTTTTTATACAAATCTAAGGAATGGATCATCATAAAATTTAGTGGAATGGTACATAAAAATCTAAAAAAGAGATGATTGTGTATTGTTTGGTAAATTCAGGTACAGGGTGGAGGCATTGCACTCTATAGAGTGACCGCTCTAGTTTTATTCTTTTTTATTAACTAATAAAATAATAGCTGTTTTCTTTTTCTCCCTAGCTCTGTATGCCAAAGGGTTTATCATTCCGTACACATAGGGACAAGAGAGCACCACATCTTCACTCATTCCTGATGACGCGTGAGGATGGCACTCGAGTACATGGTGCAGCGCTCACATTTTATGAACCAGTAGAAGATCAAGGGATATGCATTTCTATGCAGGCTCTTCACACAAAGTATCAAAACGAGACAAGGAACCGTGAGAATGAAATCAAAGTGTACGGTGGCAGTCCGCAGATAAGTCGCCGTAATTCCACCCAATCTTATGCAACTTTTCCAAAGATGGCTAGTCGCCGGCCATCTGCATCAGCAATTGGACGGATCTCTCCTAAAATTGTGCGACGTAGTGATGCTCTCCTTTGCCAGAACAAAATTGGGACCTACAATTTTCCTAAAGACAGACTGTACGTCACAAAGTGTATTTGCCTGATTATGCAAATGCCCTATATCAAATCCTGCTTCAAATTCTTAATGCAAATAGAGGATCTAATTGCTAGTAAGGAACCACCAAAAATATTGCTTGAAAGTTGTTTGTACAACCTTCTGTATGAAGTTCCTCTGCCTCCTCCAGGACGTAGCATGAAATTCAGTGCAATCAGTGAGAGCATCTTTTGCCAGTGCCCAGCTAATAATGAACTGCCTCTCTTTGAGTATCCTTTACAGGAACTCTTCAACCTTCTGAGTATTGACAATATTGTAGAATTATACACATGTGCACTATTGGAACATCAAATTTTATTGGTGTCCAAAGGTAAAGACTTTTAATTATTATGCTGTTTTACATTAGTTACTATTTAAGTGCAGTTAGTAATTAGTACATACAAATATGTATATATTTTTAGATAATATATTAGTAATTTGTTTGATAATAATTTCAAATATTAATTAATTACAATGACATGACAATAATGATAAATGTAAAAATTATAATTAAATCAAACCTACAAAAATTAAACAATAACTGTATACTAAATTGTATAATTCTGCGATTCCAGATTACCAAAGACTGATGGTAGTTGCAGAAAGCATATCCTGTCTGCTGTTCCCATTCTCATGGCAACATGTGTATGTTCCCATTCTACCAGCTTCGATGCTTTATTTTCTGGATGCCCCAGTACCATTCATCATGGGCCTTCATCTGGATGGCAGTGAAGACAACTCGCAGCTTGAAATGACCAATGAGGTAAGTTTTAATGATAGCCAGTAAGTATAATGATCACTACTGCTATCTTTATCTAAGTGGGACGTTATTAACTCAGAGCATCACCAACTCTAAAGATGTCAGTACACCAGCTGACAATCCTCACCTCTTCTCCAAATATGGTAAGGTTAAGTTTTTTTTGTGGAAAGTTCATCAACAGTAATACAATACACACTTAAGCCTAGGGCAGCATACTGCATCAGCGTCATCAGCCAACATGATTTCATTGCACCGTGCCACAATAATGTCCTATATCCATTTATATCGTATAATTTGTCATCAAATAACACATTACAAAAAAAAACAACATTTTATTATATGAAAGTCTACTTTTATTTGTCAATGATTTCATATACATGTGGTGAAGCAAAAGAAATACAGCATTGTATTACTTCTCATAAACAAAGACCGTAAGCCTGTCAAACCATTATATAAAATGTAAACACAATTAAACACAATCAAAAGGTGGCAGAAATAAAGAATTATTGCAAAAAATAATTTTGGTTAACTACACAAAAAAGTGGTCAATTTGTCACAATAAATTTTTATTCAATTAATTTCCTTTATTATATATATATTTTTTTACAATTCTCAATTCAAAGATTGATTAAAAAGACGTCAAGGACAAGCAAGCTTTAAGTTTTGATGCCCCACAAAAAAAGAACAATAATAACTACAAAATGAAAATAAAAATATTATAATAATAATTTAGAGAGCTTTTGAGTACTGTAAATCGATGCACCAATAATCGCATCGATTTATCGGGTTACTGCCTTGTTTACAATTTCTGTTAACTCTACAATGAGATTTCCATCCAGGCCTCATTATGCCTAGAATTGTAAGATGAAGATATCTGATTGGTGGAATGCTCTAAGTCTTATCTTAGTGACGATAACATACAATAATTTAGCACAGGATGCCAAGAAGCTAATTCCCCATCCTGTGAGGATATCTCAGCTTCAAATTTCCTGGTCATGTGCTAGAACTATTTCCAGTGATGGATTTTTGCAATTCAGCATAAAAACTGACTAATAATATCTTCTTAATCCTGTTAAAATGATTTTACTGCAAGAAAAGCAATTACTTGTGAAACACAAAAACATATTTTTATGTATTGCAAAATTTTCGATAACAGAAACAAAATTGTTCAAGAAAGCAAATTTAGTCTAATTTAGTATATTATAGTGATAAATATTCACTAATATTAATAGAAAATATGCAAAGTTAAAAGATATTTACAATTTATTACTATATCATATAGGAGTTTGCAAATGTACCTAAAATTTGTAACACTTTTTAAAATAACATGAAAAGTATAAAGATCAAAATATTAAACTAAGAAGGACTATTTTTTTTTAAGTGGCACTTGTATGCTGACAAAAATTGTCATAAAATACAGTATTGTTATAAAATACAGTATAATTTTAATTATGTTGCAGGCTTCCTTGTGTTTTGTTGATATTGACAACCATTCTGTGGAATTTCCTGAAGATTTGCCATCAATTCCTAACAAAGGAAAACTCATTGAAGAAATTGCAGAGACTCTTCACAAATACAATGTCACGCCAGACCTCACACCCGCAAGCATTAAAAATCCAGAGGGAAGCGAGGATGATCTTAGTAGGAAGTTTGATTGCGGGCTTGATACAGACCATGATAGTTCTTACTTCAGTTCATGCAGTGAAAGCCCTGTGTCTATGCCAAGCATGCCAAGTAGACATGAAATTCTCTCCTCGAATGAAATCTTCAACAAGGTGGCAGACATCGTAAAGAGGACTGGTGTGATTACTGATCTGCACAACATCCAGCAAGGAACTGAAAATGTGGATGTGACGAGCAAAGATGATGAATCTGAACATGCAAGTAAAGAAGATGTTGATGATATGCTGTTTAATAATGCAATAAGAGAGTCATTTCTGTGGGTTATGGTTAATCTGTTACTACGCTATGAATCATTCGTAATACAACCCAAGCCATCTACTGCACTTGAGACTTGGTTCGCAAATAGAGAACACATGCAAAATTTCGACAAGGTAAGGCATCCATTACAAATGTGTATTATAATTCTAAACATGAATATTTATGTTTTTGGGGATTAAAAACATTTTCATTTTAATTGAAGATAAACAATTTGAAAAAGGTTTATTTATAAATGTACTATTGAGTACATTGATCAGTCACTTTCCTGAGTCTGATCCCTTATGTGAGTCGTTTGAGATCACTATGAGTATGTATGTATGTAATTAGATTTATATAGTGCATAACACCGGGGTCTCTATGCGCTGATACAACAGAGAGCAAAAAAGAAAACTAAACCATTGATTTATTCTAACTAACCATGAACAAAACATTAAAAAAAAACAGACAAGCAGAGGAACCAAGATCACTGCACCGTTCTCCTGCAGTTTAAGTACTACTGCAAAGCAGTAGCTGGCATGCTCATTATTCACAGGTGCCCTAGTGAACCTGGCATCTGACTCACCTATCCTACAAAAAAATGAATGAAGTAAGAGACGGCACTTCACAGATGTCCAGAGGCAAAGCGTTCCACAGCTTGCATGCCGCAACATTAAAGGATCTTATGAGACCTTCCTTATGAGCCTTAAAGACACTTTAAGGCCAGGTCATTTACAGTACTTACTCATACTGCAATTGTCAATTTGTGTACTCAATTTCACTGTATTTCATTATGTTATACAATGACAATAAATACTGAATGAATGAATGTTTCAGATCCCAAAAGCCAGCTCTTTTGTTAATTTCTTTTCTAATAATTAAGTTTTTTGGTGGCAGTGAATCACTATTGGCTTTAGTGTTTGAAACATCAAACCTCATTGTTCCATAGAAGAAAACAGACTTGAGCTATAGCTGTGGCATTGCTTTCTATCCACTTGGTCAATGACTCAGGTTCTTTAGATGTCCACATGCTACTCCAAGTAATACAGTACTTGCTGCCAGATATTAAATATAATATAAAGAACTTGTAGCATACAGTCATCAGCTAATGAAATAAAATTACGGTGGTATTCATACTCTGACAAAAATCCTAAACAAAAAATATTATAATAATGAAAGCCAATAATAACATTAATAATAATAGTACCTGTACTGTAATAATTTTAATTTTAAGAAATTTATATATTTTACAAATTAATGGTAAAAATAATTTTTTATAGGCTTAAGTAAATGTAATGTAACCTGATACTCTAGCACCCGTATTTGACCTCTATACATTAGTGTCATTATCAATCAGTGTTGCTTCACAAGAAACAAAAAATTCATCACTTAAATTTCACATTGTAAAGTAAGAATTTGAGATAATATAATGTGTTTAACAGTGTGTGTAGATATATTTATGAATTACCATTAAATTGTCACGTTTAATCCATTTAGATGTAAATTTAAATTATTTTAGCTAGTTGGCGCCACTAAAGTGGGTAGATTATAAACCACATGTGCGATAAAGCTATTTATTGTTCAGACACCCCGTAAATGCCTAATTCCTAGGTAACAGCCATTGTTCGTATTCTGTCATAGATCAGCAGTTGCTAATAGGTGTACAGATCATATATTGCAGGTATAACTTTAGAACAATTCAGATTATGACCTCGACTTTACGATCCAGTCTTTTGGGATTTCCTGTCTAACTCCAAAAATGTCTCTTGCTTTGAGTGACAAAATTTGTTTTTTAGTTGATACAAAGTGATAATCTTTTTTAAAAAATACTGTGTCTTATCTTCAAAAAGATGGTTGTTAAACGCATCATTTCACAATGCTAAGTGGTTGAAGAGCTGAAAGGTAACAAATATATATTTATAACCATGTGTGCAAATACTAAACCCTTTAAAAATACAAACTATATGGATTGTGTGCTTCAAGTTCTTGTAATCTAGGAAAATATGTTATTCAAATATACAGTACGCTGCATGTGGGGAAATAAACATACTGGAAGAAAATTATGCTTCTGTGAAAATGATTTTCTAAAATTTAAAAGTCGTAGGTTGGATATTTTGTGTCTACTTTTATTCATAGGTGGTAAACATGACGCGATTATAGATAATATACCGGGGCTGAGCCTCAATATTCTACAGCCTACAGGCTCTTTTAAGCATTTAGCATGTTTAATGGTTTTGCTTATGTTTTCTAAAGTAACTCCCATATGACTTGCTCACACTTGACCTACATTGTACAGTAGGTGTTAGGAAATACTTATCTTGATGAGGCTATGTAATGACCTGGGTTGGTTTGGATTTTTTTCTTTGTGAGAAACACCAAAAAAGATCCACGAAACTCACAAGACTTTATTAAATCCCATACTCATTAATGAAGAGTTTATCAAATTCTTTAACATGCATACTTTATGAGGCATATTGCACATACAGTACAGTGCCAACAGCTTAAAACAGCATTCTTCAAACTTTATTGTAGGCCTACTTGAAGTTATAGGCACAAAGCCTTGGCCCAACTGAGCCAGGGGCCAACATACCAAAATCAGGCAACAAGTTCTGATCTTGAAAATTACCTCCATGTGCTTTAATATGATATACTGTACAATAATTTGACATAATTAGCTGTTGTATTAGTGATTTGTATAAACTGCATATTCGCTCTATCAATAAAGTAGTTTTGCAAAAATGAATCTTTCATTTTTTTTTCTCCTGGGTAAACAGCCCCAAAAAAATATTTTGGTCCAAAATTGAGCCTCACATTTCAACCATCCAGCTGAAACACAAGGAGAGCAGTGGATTTTCAGCACACACACAGTACACTAGCTACTGTACCACTAGTTTAGCTGACTTGAGCTAAGCTGCTCTCTTCTGCAAATTGCAGGATCCATAGCACATGTAAAAGAGGTGAATTGGTCAAATGCAAGCCACCCAAGTATAGAATGTCATAAAACAGCTGACTAAAAATAGTTTTTATGAATTATTTCTCTTAAAACCTTTAAATATTTAATAATTATGATACAGTTTGAAAATATTTAAATTGAATTATAATCATTGTAGCAATTATACATTTGTAAATGTAATGTTCATTTATCATGTATTTTTATCTCTGATTTTAAATATTGTTTATTTTAATTTCTGTCAGTCAGGGTTCCCAAGTCTCCTGGAAATCGGGACGGCCTCCCGACACTCCCGCACTCCCGCAAGCAAGCGATAATCTTCCAGAAATTAACCCATATCCCGCAAATTCATTTTGCATATTTTCACTGCTTTATTATCAATTGTGCAGCAAAATTAAATGTTACGAAATCTCATTAACCAGATCAGTGGCGGATTCAAGAGGAAAGCACCCTCACCCCAAATTTGTCAAAATTAAAAAAAAAAAAATGGAGAGAAAAGAAAATAATATTTAAATTTTATTCCGAGAGGTCATTTCCGGTCATCTAGAGGTGCCATAATCATAAATTTTCTGACCTCAGCCCCAATCATGATGTGGGCTGAGGTCAGTTCTTTTTAAATACTAGTACAGTAATTGTTATACTACGAACATGTTCATTCTGTTGATGTCTTTTTAAATTGTAAAATAAATAAATTTTATTTGTAGGCTGCCTTCCTGTCTGACCAACCCGAGGCGTCGTTGCCATTTTTATCCGCTTTCATCGAGACACAGATGTTTGCAACATTCATTGATAGTAAGATCATCTCCTCTGAGGTCAAGGATCGTTCGCTATGTATATTTGATGAACGTGTTGAGTATTCTAAGCAACATGGGCCAACATCACCCGTTGATGATACATTTCCAAGCCCATTCATCAAAGAAGCAGGTCTGTACCACATGTTATTTATTGAACTGTGGAGTAATGTAATCAAGAATAATTTATATATTGAGTACATGAAGGATAAGAGCTACTATACCTACACTTAATTATTATTATCTTCAATATTAAGCTTAATTTTGATTGCTTAATCTAATTGTAAAATAATTTTGTAATCTTAACATACAGTAATTACTACTGATCCATACATCCCAATTTTTTTTTGCATCACCTTATTTGGAGTTTATAAGTAAAAAAACGTAATATACTAAATTGAGCACTGTTAACCAAAACATGCACTTGAACAGATACTGCACAGCAATAATGATAAGCAATAATTATAAAAGAAATAGTCCTAATTATTAAAAATGGAATTTCTATACTTTCTGTAGAAATTTTGATTTATAAAGTCATATTTTAATTACATGACATGTATTTTTTAATAACCCTGGATACAAAGCTGTGGCTTTGTATCCAGGGTTTAAACTTTTATACATAATTATTATAAGCAAGAGAGTAGGCCTATATATGCTATAATGTATATGATGAGCAATGAGAATGATAATGCTAATTTAATCAAGAGTCAACCTGTACATGAACCTGCAACAATTACGAAGCTACAGTTTTTTATACATCCTATTGTTTTGTTTGTGCAGAGGAGATGATCTTGCACCGTGCCAAGAACATAGACTTCATCCCTGCAAAGTCAAGCCACCAAATAGGAAACAATGATACTCAGACTGAATGGCGGTATAAGTTCTTCCCGATCCTCAAGTCAGAACTACTAATTGAACCTACTAAATCTCGGTAAGTTATCCCACACTTGGTTTAGAAAAGCTTACCACATCCATCTAGATCACATAATATATTATCACCTTTTCATTATCATTCAATTTCCCTACCAACTGAGCCACGAGCCTAAGTTGGTATCCTCTGTTATGGTTTTTTTTTGTACTATAAATTGAAATTTATCTTATACTGGTACTACTGGTAATTTTATTCGGGTAATTGTAGACATTCAGCAGCTATTGACATTTAAGTTGGCATTAATAGGCCAATTGGTGTACAGTACTTCCTTTTCTTTTAAGTGAGCTATGTTACCAGGTAGGCATACATGCCCTAGTGGTTGAGCTACAGACTAATCTTATGATTCTAGGTAGGGTTACACCTTGTACTATCATTTGGTTGCTATACCAACTGAGATATGAGACCAAATTGATGTACCTAAAATTACCATTAAGTTGTTCCAACTGACAACTGAATTACTGAGTCTATTTTTGTATTATTAATTACTAAGATTGTGAAAGATATATAGTCCAGGAACCATCCAAAGCAGTTAATAGCGATACTGGGCTGCCATTCATTCGGTTGCTTTATGTAGTACTAGACCAGGTTTGTATATACTGTACTCCATTGGATTATCATTCAGGTATTCTATCAACTTAGCTGCTAGATTTGGTGGGTATACTGTACTACTTAGTATTCTGGACAGAACAAGGAAGGTTTTCAAATTCTGAGTGTATTTTAAACAATGTTTTTAAATCTTATTTATCGTATAATGCATAGCTTTGAAAATTGTTTTATGGTAAACTATGGTCTTGCCTTGCTTCAGTTATTTATTACAATGAGGCTTAATTACTTTGAAGACCATTTTATTGTCAGTGTGCCCATCAATTGAAGTTCCACTTTGATGAATTTTATTAGCCTGGGACACAGAACTGCTACTTTAAAGGTGCCATCTCATAACCTATTTAAAATTATGCTTACAGTAACTGTTTAATTAGCAGGCGCTTAAATGTTAATGAGACTGGGCATTGCATTGCAGCATATTTCAGGATGGAGAACTCATTAAAGACATAGAACAATGAATTGTTTAAATGTGAACCGATCAAAATGTGTTGAAATGTTATGAGAAAACTACTTCAAGTAATATCCACCATATTGCATAATATTTTTAGTATCTTAACCTATTTGAAATGCCTGCTGTACTGAACATATTACTGTATGAATATGAAATGCACAAATTACATTTTTTTAAATGGTTTCCAATGCAAATAATATTATAATGATGATAAGACTTTAAAAGCACACATATTCCTTCTTAATGCTTATTATAAGTACAATTAATATGTTTTAAACGTTGTAAATTTGGTACCATGGTGTACCGCAAGCATTTATTTAATTTTTTTTTTCGCCATGCAAACCATCAAAAAATATATTCCTAATATTGCTACTAATGTTATTGCTTTCTCATTATTGTCATTCTTTCTGTTAAATCTGTTATTACAGATTTGAAAATAATGTTAAATGTACAATTTAATTCATAATGCTTATAATTGTTTAATATTATTTTGTTATATTACTATGCCACCACATTTATATTTATATGAATCTCTACACTATTGTGAATGTGTGTGACAAACCAAATAAATTAAAAGCCAATATAAGAATTATATTTTTCATTTTATTAGTCACAGTAAGCATCGAAGCTCATTACAGTGGCGGGAAAGAGACCGGCAACAACAACACTTAGAACACTTAAGTCAGTCTCCAGATGAGAGGAGGGTATGAAATCATTCAGTAATTTATTTACATAGTTTATAGATATTTGTGAACATTTCATGTGTTTTCTTTGCTGATGCAAATATTATATAGTGTATAATAAAACATGCAAACAAAACCAGGAAGTTGATAATATTCCATTGTGTCTTTAATTTACAGAGACTCATTAAAGAAGCAACAGCAAAACCCAGGAAAGCAACTGTCAACAGTTTTTCACATGCCAATGCAGAGCAAACAAACACAAAATTTGTTGGTGAACTTTTAACAGAAGTAAAAACAAAGGTATTTTTATATATAAATTATTCAAAATATGTATACTATTCTCTCGTATAATCTGATTAGGAACCAGCTAATACATCATCATGTTTATCACCATGCCCATCACTATCATCATCACCATTTCATCATTACCATTATAATCAACATCACTACTACTATTATCATCATAATTTTGTTATTTGTTACATATCTAAAGGTGCTGCATAGTCAAATAAATATGTAATGAAAATTGGAGATACTGTGCTGATTTTGCTACAAAAATCACCTCAGCTATAAGCAATATCATCTTTATTATCATCAAAATAACAATCATATATGAACATTATTTTTAATGTCTGCATCATTATCATCTCCATCAACGCTATAAATCATAATACAAAGTATAGGTTTACATTACAATGTATACCATATGTCATACAAGCAAGTCAATTTTTGTTTTTTGATAACTTCACATATCATATTTCTCAGACCAAGCGATTACTAGTCTTCAAAATGGGTCAGGAAGCTGTGGAACTGGGTCATGGGGAAGTGAACAGATCAGGAGTTGAGGAAAACACATTAATTGCAAGCCTCTGCGACCTATTGGAGAGAATCTTCAGTCATCACAGTACAAAAAAACAGGTGCAATATACACATTAACCTTTTTCCACTGAATGAAATCTTATTAGTATTACTTGTAAGTTACATTTGAATTTTGTATTCTTATGAGAAAATTCTGTGTCATATGACAACAAATGGCCACAAGAGTAATCAAAATGGCTGCAGCTTCTCTTGTTTATATACTATATATATACTCTTTACATAATCTTGTTTTTCTCACCCTTAGGAGTATACACACATTAACATAACACACTCCAACACAACCATAATGTGCAATTTCTAGAATCTCATGCCACTTAAAAAGACTTCAGTATCCTTTGATTGATGGATTTCAAAATAAGTCTTTGAGTTGGATTATTAGTTTAGATGGCTTCATTCAAATGATACATGAAGCAGCAAATACATGTTTTTTACAGTGACACCTGGCTGCATTTCTCTGTCTCGGATTCTTAAATGGTTTGCATTATGTCCATCACTCGTAGATGTTTACGACAAGTGTAATATTTGTTTACCTCTGGCTCGGTTTTTACCAATATGGCCTACCAGTAGGGTTCTTTGAAAGTCTGCCTGCTGCATACAATATTCAAATTATTTGAAATTTATTGTTTTTGTTACTGAAGTAGCCTTCTAAAGCGAACTGTGTAGCATAATTAAATACCCCTAACATAATACAATGAAACAAATTATAATGTCAGAACACTTGTATTCTTCTTTAAGTCAATGAAGAATTTAAATTTGTCAATATCAATAGTTTGCTAAAGGCTGTGCTTATTTATAATTAAAATTTTAAAGGTGAAAAAGTAGTGTTACTATTTTTCTAGGTTACATTTTTGTATATTATTAAATTTTAATAACCAGGTTAAGCCTAAATAGTTAAAATCCTATTTCCAGGCCTAGTATAATATACATATTATTCTGTCCTGTTTATTTCCTAAAAACTTAAAATTTTTTTTCTCTTAGTGCAAGTCGGCCTTGTGGTCTCTCCTTATGAGTTACAAACGATTAAAAGACAAGAAGCACAAAGCAGAGATGGCGCTACGGAAACAAAGCTTAGCCACAAGTAAGTACACGTTGAATGCAAACTTTCACTTCACTTTCCAAGTCAATTAATAATTTTTGTTCCCAAGATCTTAGTTGTATTTTATCATTCAATGCAGTTATGAGATAATTATGGAGAGTAAGATGATGCTACTACAAGCTTTAAGAGCCTTTACAATTGATTCATTTTTATGGGATAAGCAAAAATGTAGATAATTGTATGATAAAATCATACTGTTATAGTTGTGATGATGGCATTTGATGTGGTGACAACGAAGACAATGATAAACAAATATTAAAGAGAAATATAAATGATGGATTTATCATTAAATGCAATGCAATTATGAGATAATTATTGAGAGTAAGAGGATGCTAATATAAGCTTTTGGGGGCCTTACATTTGATCCCTTTCTATAGGATTAACAAAAATATAGATAATTGTATAATCAAATGATACTGTTATGGTGTTGATGATGGCATTGACTTTGGTGACAACAAAGACAATGGTAAGCAAGTATTCAAGAGAAATATAAATCACAATAAAATCATAATTATAGTATGGTAATTTAATGGTAATACTAATGAGAATAAGTAGAAGATCATCAAAGAGCTTCATGATTGATAAATATTTTTTTCTCTATTAGGTAATCATGGAAGTAGTTTGAATGATCAATTGAATTTTTAATCCAGTCCATCAATCAGCCAATCAAAATATCAGGATTGATTTTTGTATATGATACAGCACCAAAATTCACTATTAGCAGCAATTTTTAATAATTTCCAATTATCCTGTGAAATCAAATTTATATTAATAATGTTATGGTTTACATTTCTAGCAATTGACACCAACACTGGACCTTCACGGAGTGTGTTGATGTCCAGCATGGAGGCCATCAACATGGGCAGGAGGAAGAGTACTGGTAGTAACACTGAACCAGTTGTACTGCCACCCAATACAGATCTTGTTTATGATATGAGGCAAGTCTGATTTTTACCTCTTGTTCATTGTGGAGTTAATAAACTGGATTAAAATTTAATATTTGAAATGCTTTGTTGGGGCCGTTCACAAGGGACCATTCAGGAGTGTCAATTAAACCTAACAACTAACCAATCAAAACATCTCTAAGATTATGCACTTGTCACACAAACTTATTTGTACCCCAAACGTACGTGTCTACTTAATTTGATCATTTTGAATAAGAAATTTAATGTTTTTTGACACTGCGCCTTGAGCACCAATTTGGTGGTGATGATTGCGCTTTAAAAATCATCATCATTATTATTATTGTTTTAATTTAATTATTTAATAATGTTTCTGTATGTTTCACTATAGAGAGTGTATATCTGAAAGAAAAGTCTTACCATACCAGTTGTACTGCATCACAAGTCTTTCCTATTATATGTTTTCTTATATATATATTTTTTAATTTATTATATATATGTTTCATATATAGGAAGATTCAAGCTATGCCAGCCATTAAGACTGATGTGGGATGTGCCCGTGCTTGGGTGCGACTGGCACTTGAACGCAAACTTCTCAACAAACACATGAAAGAAGTGCTTTATAACTCAGAACTTATGAAGTAAGTCTAGTTTGAAAAAGACTCAATAAAAATTCTTTACCTGCAAATGCCTGACTCTTTATCTAATGGAACTTATAGCTGTTATTCATAAAAAGAATCTGCAAAAAATGGATTCTACCATTGAAGCTCTCGTGGCTTCTCCCAACTTTCAAAATACTTTGAGCGTCGCCTGACCAATCCCGCATTGTTTTCATCGGGGACGTCTGCCCTCTCGTCTGGGACTTCCTCCTCCCTACCCACTATCGCTGACCTTGGGCCCCTGTCGGGCAAACCCTGGTGCCACCCCTGGTTTTGTGCGCCGTCTTTTGGATGAGACGTATTAGCTGCGTCCATTATTGCCCATTACATCCCATTACATATTAAAGAATGTAGTACACACTCTGGAAATCATGTTTATATAAAATATATGTAATGAATCAATATTCAATCAAACTATAAACAATAGAACAAATAATCATTAAAGTTATTTATTAATTATTTATGTTTATTTTACTTATTATTTAATTTCAGGAAACGATATAAGAGGTGTGCTTTCCTCAGGACTGATGATGAGAAGGAACAATTCCTGTTTCATTTACTCTCGTTGGAAGCAGTGGACTTCTTTTGTTTTACTAATGCATTCCCATCTGCAGGTAAGTATTTTGTAGTTGCATGCCATTTAAATCTACATACTTATTAAGTATTGATTTATTATTTATCAGGAACAAAGAGATAACAAAGCAAGGAAGTACAATCCTTTATGAACGGTTTCAGTTTCATATTGATAATTTTAAAATACAATACAGTAAAACCTCGAATTGAACCCCAATGGACTTAATCTCGAGATGAAGCCCATCTCAAATTGAAGCTCCCCTCTTTAGTTTGCAAAAGTAGCCTCGAAGATAGCATAGTCTTCTTTTCGAGATAGTACAGTACATATACTGTACATGAATTTATAAAAAATAAATAAATAAATAAATTAAAAAGAAATTTGGTTCATACAGTAGTTTAGGGGATTTAATGCCGGTTCAATAGACTCCAAAATACAGATTGATGTTACAGTGGCCTTATTTATTGTTTTATAGTACAAATTCAAAAAATTTACAGCATTTATTTTGAAAAGAAGCACCCCCGCTTTACTTTGAAACAGTAGCCTCAAATAAAAAGCCCATCTCGAAAAGAAGCCCATCCAAAGTTCGCAAACAAAGGAAGCCCAGTGCTTCAAGTCAAGGTTTTATGTTATATTAAACATACTTTGATTCAGGAAAAATAAAATGTATGACCTTCTATTCTTATTTTTGATAATGTTTAACATTATTTTAATGAAGAGATAGTTTAAGTGTAATTTAGCATGTGTGTAAGCCTGTTACTGTACAAGATAACAATTAAATACAATTGTGCTACACAGTTTTACAACATTTTGTGATAAGCAAACTAAAGAAAGTAAGTTGATGAAAATGTAAGAACTTCCATTGTGTGAAAATCTGTATTTTGAAATTGAATCTGAAATAGAATCCCTGAAACCAGTATCATTTATCTGTAAGTTTTTGAAGCTGTAGCAAGTTAATCTGATTTATTAATGGTATTATTTGTATTTTAAACCTAATCTGGGTTTGTTTACAGTGGTTTCCTATAAGGTTACTATATTCCAAAGTCGGAAATTTCAGGCGGGGACGTCTGCCAATCCGTGGATCTGTCTAGCAGGTGAAATGGGTGAGACAGGGATGGTACGTTTACCAAAATACTGCCAAGAGATTCTATTCGAGGTGAGAACTCCATTACAAATGAAAACACCTTTAATAATATTTTGAGAAAAAGAACCTATATTATTCTCATTGGAGTTTAGGCGCAAGACTACAATTTTTTTTTTTAAACTGAGTTATAAGATTTTTCATTTAAAGATTTATTGTCCCCTGAAAATGAAATAAAAATCGTAAAAAAAAAACTTTAAAGTTCACTCCCTCATTTCACAGTAACATACAAATTATTGGTGATCCTCTTCTCGAGCGGATCACCTCTTGTTATTGTACTGTCTCTTCTTTTTTTTATTCTTTCTTTCTCCCCTTTTCTGTTCGCATGAAAACTCCAAAAAGCCACGAGTTACGCACAATCGCTGTCATGGTAAGCTTTTCAACGCGCTCAGTCATGCGTGACGTGCAATTTTGCGTTTTTACATAATCGATCATATCAGCCTAACTAATTGCCATTTCGAAATCGTATTAAATGAGCATTAACTTTGGGTTAATGTTAAATGTACTGTACCTTAATTTTACGCATGCGCTTCACTACGCGCATGTACACGTGCACCGAATTTTTAAAATGCTCAAAATCACTTTTTGACTAAATTAGAGCACGTTAAAGGCCATTTTGAGCATTTCGAAATTTTTTGAAATTTTCCACTACGCGCGCAGCACGTACGGAAGCTAGACATTATGTTTTTTCACATAGTTTGGGTTCCTGATATTGTTTCCACAAATTTCCATTCTTTTTGGTCATCTTATGGCCAATAGCAATGCCGTACGTGCGCATCAAATATAGGTATCTTTGCGCGGATTTGTGCCGATATACAGTGAAAATATGCTAAAATCAGGCCTATTTTTAATTAGTTAAAGCTCCTTAGAATGAAAGGTGACCCCCAATTTTTATTCCATATTCTGAAAGCACATAAGTTGTAAAAATGATTTTATAGATCAAAATGGCTGATCGGACATTGTGACGTCATCATATTGGCATCTGAATTCAAGGA